CTAAAATAGAACCAGGAGGCATCAGGGCCCAGGGGCTTAGGACATAGCTTTGCCTGTAAATGGGGCTTCTAGGGGAGCCCAGAAAATTAGGCTCGCAGCTGGGAAGGTGGCCGCAAGCAGCTATTGTTGTTTTGAATTATTTTCTATAATCATCCCCCCCCATGTATGGATGTGTGTCTGTGCTGCATGTATGTCTGTGCTGCATGTATGTGTGCACACCGTAGAGGTCAGAAGAGGGGCAGCAGGTTCCCCGGAATTGGCGTTACAATGGTTGTGAGCATCCATGTGGACGCTGTGGAACTGTCCTCGGGGAAGATGAAGCCATCTTTCCAGTCCCACTATTTGGGAACTTTTGACTCTCAGCTGGTGAAAGGCTTCAAGCAGACTCTGAAGTGAGGGACTATCGTCCTTCTCGTGTCCCCATACCTTCCTCTTTCTGTCCAGCCTCATGGGAACCTAGAGGGAGAGGTGTGATGTCAGCAGCCCTGCCCCCTACGGTCACACTCGCCTCGTCACCATGGCACGGGAACATTGCCCTGCCATCTCCCACCCATGCAATCAGTGCCAGTGGCAGTATTTTCATCAGTGACCACAGCCGTGACTTACATGCCCCCCAGCACGCCCACAGGTGTTCCCTCCATCACCAGTCCTGCCACAGCCGCTGACACCTATGCCAGGCTGACGCTGCGGACATAGTCCCGCCCCTTCTCATCAGCATGGCTGCCACTCACAGCCTGACATCTCCTTCCTGCATCCTATGCCCCAGCCACTGGCCTGCCTTCTCCCTCACACCCTTTCCATGTGGGTGCCCAGTCCTGCTCCAACTGTATACCAGCTCTATGCCCTGTGCCCCTGCAGCAACCTTGGAGGGTGTTTGTCCTCATTTCGAGGCCCTGAGGGGTCAGTGGTTAGCTCAGGGTGCAGAGCTCATAGCCACAAAAGGTCATCTGTGTGGTGGGACGATGATGGGGTGGAGACAGCAGGCTCAATGACGTCCATCTCCACTATGGAGAGAGGACAGCATGGGTCCCCAGGACACTGCCGGTCAATTTCCTGCAGCCTGGAAGTCTCAGGGCAGCAGCTAGGTGGGGTACAGGGTCAGTGAGAGGGGAGGCTAGGTCTGGAAAGCCCCCCTTTTGTCCTCTGTCCTCTCATGGCTGCCCTGAAAGAGCCGATTGCTTCTCGGGAGCTTGATGCTCACTGAGGCGTGTGGCCATGCCTGAACGGTGTCCTCCGGGCTGGTGTCCCTGGAGGCTTTGTGGGTGGAAGGCCATTGATATGGGGCTTTGCTCTCTCATACTCTTCCAGTGGCCTCCGGTGCCCGTGGAAGAGACCCTTTGCATGGTAAAAACTGAAGCATGGGAGGAGACAGGGAGAGGCCGGCATCACAGGTCACACAGATGGGAAGGGAGTATGTGGGACTCCAGAGTCTGCAGCTCTGAGAGTCAGAGGCCCTGGATAGTTCCCAGGGAGGAGGCAGAGGCTGATAACAGGTCCACCAGCCCTGAGCAGAGCCCCCTGGTGTGGGGGCAGAGGCACAAGATTCCATCCAGCATGGCCTGTGGAGCAGAGCATCCCCCTTCTCCCCCCTCCTCTCCTCTCCTCTGCTCTCCTCTCCTCTCCATTTCTCCCCCCTCCGCTCCCCTGCCCTCCCCTCCCTTTCTGTCTTTGTTGACTGGGCTGTAAGACAGAATCATCATGTTTACTGGACCACAGGCACTTGTAGGACCATTTATGTTCAGGTCTGAGCACACAGTGGGGCCAGTAATGTTAGGAGCCGCCATTCCCTCTCTTGGGGAGCACAAGGCAGTGGGCTCTGAGGGTACCTGGTGAGCTGACTCATTTCTTGCCTTGCTGTGTGACCTTGGGCTGCTATCTGCCCTCTCTGAGCCCCAGACTCTCAAATGGCAAATGAGGAAACTCCCCATCCCCTCAGCCCCTCAGCAACTGAGCAGAGATCCAGGTGACAGAGCTCAGCAGAAACTTTTTTTTTCAGGGGTGGGGGGGCGGGTGGTGGTGTGTGTGACTGGACAACACTCTGGGCCTAACAAACATTCCTGGTGCTGAGGTCCGGGATGGCCCCTGACCAACCTTCTTGAGGAGCCCATAAGGGAGGGTGTAGGAAAGCCTCAGCAGGGCCAGGAGGCCAAAGGCATAGGGAGCAAAGGGGTCAAGACCGCAACCTCTGAGCCTGGCCTGTGGAAAGGGCAGAGCATGAAGACAGACCCTGTCATGGCCCTTTCTTGACGCTTCCCATGTCACTGGCTACTCCCAAGGGTTGTTGCTGGGACATGAGTGGTGGTGTCCCTCAGAGTACAGGCCCAGGCTGAGGAGTCTGTGGGGTAGGGACTATGAGGAGCCATGTTCCCTGAAGTGGGGTAACAGTTAAGGTGTTCCTCTGGAGTCCTAGATGCACTATGAATAAGTATATTTTTTTCAGCTTGAGTCACGGCCTCATGCAGCCCAGGCTGGATTCAAACTGGCTATATAACTTAGTGTGGATGACCCTGATCCTCCTGCCTCCAATTCCCAGGAAGAAGTATTGCAAAGCGATGTAGTGTGTGTGATTTGTGGGGTGCTGGAGATCAAGCCAGCATGGCCTGCATGCTGGGCAAGCACTGTACCCTAGCCCCAATGTGAGGGTTTCTGAAGTTTGTACCGCCTCCTTGATTAATCTCTAGAGGATCTTGGTGTGTAGTTACGGCGTTTTCAGTACCCTGCACACAGCGTAGGAATGCAGACCTATTCTGAAGCTTTCCTGGATGGTGGTGTGTGGCCATGGTGACTATTCTCTCTGGGGTCTGGGCCAGCAGACCTGCTTCATTGTGTTTGGAGATGGCAAGGTGTAGATGGAGGTTCTGTCCTGCCAGTTCCCACAGTCATTTAGTCCCAAATGAACACACAGAGGATTATATTAATTACAAACTGTTTGGCCTGTTTGCTCAGGCTCCTTGTTATCTAGCTCTTTCTTAATTATTAACACAACTATCAATCTAAGTATTTCTACACGGCCTTATTTTACCAGAGAATGCCCAGACATCCTACCTTCCCAGTGGCTATGGCGTCTCTTTCCCTTGCCTGCTTCCCTGCCTCTTCCCAGAATTCTCCTGGTCTGGGAGCCCCGCCTATACTCCCTGCCTGGCTACTGACCAATCAGCATTTATTCATCAACCAATAAAAGAAACATATTCACAGCACACAGAAGGACATCCCCCAACAGCAAGGTTGCTGCATTGAAGACTTAGATGCTTATCTCCACCCTGCTCATGCTTGCTGTGTGACATCAAGCCTCCTCGAATCTCTGAACTCATGAAAGGAACAGAGAGATCTTATAATACAGGTGGACCCAGGGCTCATCTGACAACTGGAAGTTGGGACAGTCTCATTTTGAGTTACTTGGCAAATCCCTGGGCTCAGGCCTGGTTGGGGGTGGGGGGCTTCAGCTCTTTCTCAGCATCCCTACCACTGTTGATCCTGCTGCTTCTCAGGACAGCTGGCAGCCTTTTGGATGAAGCAGAGCCTTTGGATCCCTTCACATCAGGCAGAGGAGCAGTTAGAATGAGCCTGTCAGTGAAGCTGCCTGACCCAAGGCAGGCTCTGACCTCTGCCTCTGCCAGGTTCCCCCCAGGGCTTTTCTAAGCCATGTAGTCTGTGCCTCCTGCATCCACAATTGCCTTTTTACAGATGGGCAAACTCAGAGAGGTGAAGTAACTTTCTCAAGGACACGTGGCAATCTGGACCCAAAGCCTGGAGCCATCTCTCCATCCATTTCCTATGCTGTCCTTTCTGAGTTCCCAAACTGGACATTCAGAATGATAGACTGAGACTGGTACCCGTGCTAAAGACAAGACAAGACAAAACAAAACAAAACAAAACAAAACAAAAACAAAAATACCCTAAGCCAACCAAACATTCTCCCAGAGTTAGCAAGGGGAAACAGATGGAGGGTATCTGGCTGCCTGTCTGCTCAGTGTGACCTGCTACTTAGTAAGCCATCGCAAACCTAGGCTGTATTGATAGAAAAAGGGTACCCACACAAGGGAGGGGGGACTGCTGACTGAGTGTGGGGAGATTGTTCCTGGAGAACTGAGTGTGTTGTAGTATGGAAGGGCCATAGAACTCCTGGAAAGACAGGCACACGGAAGGGTATGAGGTCCACCAGTGGTTACATAGCGTAGGGCTCTTTTCTGCTGGATGGCCATTGTGTGGACAAAATGTGACCCCTGACATCCTTTCTAACTGCAGTTCTGGCAACTGGGACAACCAATACTTAGGCCTGTTAGAATCACCCCTTCTTTCTGTCCCTCATGGTAAGGGTCCCTAAGGCATAGGATTCATTCATTCATTCATTCATTCATTCATTCATTCATTCATTCATTCTTCTCTAAATGTAACAGCCACATCAGTAAATAAACAAGCAACCCAGGCCTCCTTGCTAGAGCTGCAGCCCAGGCCACACCTGCTCCTAGTTGTGTATTCAGCTCCTTTGTAGCTGAGAAATCAGAGACCCTGGAGCTGTGGTGACTGGTAGCCGCCCTCCCAGGGCCTGCTGCTCCACAGTGCATCCTAGGCCTCTGCTGACAGCTCATGGGCTTGAAGTCCATGATGCTTGGGTGTGGTGACCAAGGTCGCATGTCGGCCAGAGCCTGTTCGGGACTGGGGAGTGCAGGGAGGGGATGCAGTTGGGGCGCCCGATCTTCAGCCCCTGAGAGAGAGAGGCAATGTCTTCTGGAAGTGGGGGTGCCCCTTCTGAGTCTGCCCTGTGCCTCCTCAGAGGGGTACCTAAGAGCTTGTGAATGAACCCTACTTACAGATGAGGAAACCGAGTCACTTGTCCACAGTCACACAGCAAGAAAGGGGAAGGGTCAGGATGAGGCATTTGAGCCTCATCCGTATGTTTCCCCAGGATGCTCACTGACTAGGCAAGCTTTCACTCCAGTGTCTTGACCACACCCTGCTTGGATGGCAGTCCTGGCTGACTGGTATCCACTCTCCCTCAGGTCATGAGTGTCTTGCTGTTCATCGAGCACGTGGTGGAGGTGGCCCGTGGTAAGGTCTCCTGCAGGTTCTCCAAGATGCCATATCTCAGGATCGGTATGTCTGGGGACAGCAGTGGTTGGGAGGGGACCTGTGGGCTGGGGGGAGGTCTGTGGTTCTGCCATCTTTGCTGTATTCCTGTGCGCCCCTGACTCTTTAGGAACCTGGGGTACTTCATCTTCAAATGAGGCTCTCTCCTGTTTGTACTAAGGGCTTCCTCAGGCTCGGAGGCTCAGACCCACTGTACTGGCCACTTCACATGTGTCCTACCCACCCATCTCTCCCTGTGCCATTCATAGCCCTCACCTGGGTGAGAAGAGCCGCATCCCACCCTGGTCTTGTCCCAGGCTTAGCTGTTCACACTCACGGCCCCACATTAGCTGTTCCCAAAGCCTGATCACCGGAACCCATTCAGGCTTTGCCACAGTCTCTGCCCTGCCTTGCAGCCGACCTGCTCTCCAGCTTCCTGCTCATTGGAGTGCTCTTCGCCATCAGCATCAGCCTGCTGTACGGAGTGGTCAAGGTGAGGCCTGTGCAGGGATGGAGGGGCCAGGAGCAGATGCCTTCCTGCTGTCCTGAGAACCCCACAGAACCCCACTCCACATGTTCGGGGGAGATGCTGCTCCCCATGGGACTCCATAGTCTATCAGCTTCAGGCCCTTCCAGGATGTGACCTCCTAGGGGCTGGGCTATCAGTGGGACTATGAGTAGGGTTGGGGGCTTTGGGATAAAAGAAGGAGGGGACAATAATGTGGAGTATAGGGAGACTGATAGCGCTGCGCTTGCCCTTAGGGACAAGAGTCCCCGCCCCACCCCCACTGCAGAGGAACACTGGCTCATGGAATCCTGGGAATGTGTGGCTGTACTAGGGACAGCAGGCAGACCCAGAGTGGGAGTGGGGGTGACTTGGGGGATGGGGGAAAGACTAAGTCAGGCTGTGACTCCACTTCCTGTAAAAGAGGAGCCATCTGCTCCATGGCTTCTAGGTTGACCTTGTCACTCGGCCACCTGGAGAGAGCCTTGCCCTGAAGGTGGAGGGGATGCTGGTCAGGCAAGGTGATGGCCTGGAGTGTCCCTCCCTGGCCACCCCTGCTGCGTCTGAGAACCTCACCTCTCAGGTGTGTCCCTACTGTGTGACATGCCAACAGGGGACTGCAGAAACTTACACTGTCCAGCTAAAAATCGAAGAGCAGGGCTCCCTGAAGACTCAAACAGGGTTTCTCCGTCACCTGTGAGACAACTATGAGGGCCCCCAGGATACCACCTTTTCTGTGACTTTGCCTCCCAATGGGGGCAGTGCTGGGTTCCCACCAACGGAGACAGACACTGACTGACCTCTTAGCGACCCTTTTCATGGCCTGTCACATCTGGCCTTGACCACCTGGAGGACGATGGCTACTGCGAAGGGCAGGCTCCTCCCCATGGGCCTTTCCCTGCTGCTGCCTCTGTCTCTGGCCCTGTGCTCAGTCCCCTCATCTAACAAATTATGGATCTAGCTGGTGTCTCTTTCCAGGGTGCCCTGTTCAGTTCCCTTCTCTGTAGTGGACACCTTGTGGGCTCTTGAGGAAGAAAGAATAAGTCAGGCTCTGCTATCAGAGTGTCACCCAGCTTCTGCTACTGGGATGAAAATATCCGAGAGAACCATGCAGAAGGAGAGTTCATTTTGGCTTGTTTTTCCAACCCACGGTGTGCTGGCTCTCCTTCTTTGGGTGTGACACGAGGCACAGTATCACAGTGGGGAGGAAGTTGCATTTGGCTGGCAAAGCTGCTCATTTCATAGTAGCCAGGAAGGAGGGAGAGGAGAAAAGGGGCCATGGATAAGTTCAGAGCACACGCCCAGTGGCCTTACACACCCCTACATCCCACCATTTCCCATACCATTATCTCATGTCTTCTTTGCTGGGCTCAGTTGGTAGAGTGCTTGCCCAGCATACTTGCACACATACACATGCATGCACACACACATGCAGGCGTGCAGGTATGCACGCATACACGCACACACACACACACACACACACACACACACACAAACACACATGCATGACCCTGGGTTCAATACTCAGCACTGCACAGACAAGGCATGATGATATATACCTGCAGTCTGTGCTCTGGAGGCAGAGGCAGGAGAATTAGGGGTTCCAGGTCATCCCTGGATACAAAGGGAGTTTGAGGCCAGCCTAGAGTATCTGAGATCACGTCTTAAAAACAAAGACAAAAAAACCAAAAGACAGGCAAACATAAAACTCTAACAGAGCCCCTGTATATGGAGTTGGTTCCCTGGTGTCCTCTGAGACACCAAGATGCCCCTCTCCCAGTCCCCAGAGTGTGACCCACTGGAAAGTGTGTGGATCCAGGCAGGGCCTAGTCACTGATCTGGTAGCATCAGAGAAAGCCAGGGAGGGAGCAGGATGCGTGGGGACAGGGGCAGGCTGGAGTGCTGGCATGTCAGGGGTACCTGACAGGATGGACCTGCCTTCTAGAACCGGGAGAAGTACCTGATGCCCTTCCTGTCCCTTCAAATCATGGACTTCCTGCTGTGCCTGCTCACGCTGCTGGGCTCCTACATCGAGTTGCCAGCCTACCTGAAGATTGCCACCCGGCCCCGGCCCGTGAGTACCTGTGTGCATGACCTCACCTGGGCAGCCTGGCCAGGCCCCTAATCCCTGCAAACCACTCCCAGGCTCCTTCCTATGCAGGCTGTGCCTCATGCCTTAGGACCAAATGAGAGTGACGTGGGGTTGGAACCTGGTGTGTAATGCTACCACAGGGCAACAGCCCCTAGCCCCAGATGAAAGTAATATATATATGTCTCCAGGCCTCAGAGTCTGGTGAGATGGCTGTTTACACTGGCTGTGTGTGGGTTACCCCAGAGAGAAGGGGGTGGTGCCCTTCCAGGCCTCAGCTTAAGTCTAATTCCTCTTTTGGAATCAAATGGAGACGGCTGGACGGTCAAGACCAAGGAACAAAGGAATGGAGAAAAACTGTGGTGACCCTCGCCAGTCACAATGCACACAGCTCTGTTGCACTTGCCTTTCACAATCCCCCAACTCCAGTCCTTGAAGGGCTGGGCTTCTGGAAAGTGGGAGGGCTGGGAGTTAGAAGACCCCTGTTTGTGGTCCTAGCTCTGCACACACCCTGGTGTGAGCGTCACATGTCCCTTTCTTTAAGCACAGTTGATGAGGAGATGGCTGGTGGCTTGTGTGGAGAGTCTCTCTAAGGGAGGGCCGCTCTGTGCCCTGCCCATGGAGTCTCATGCCTCTTCTTGGTCCTCCTAAGGGCTCCTCTAAGGTCCCCCTGATGACACTGCAGCTGCTCGACTTCTGCCTGAGTATCCTGACCCTGTGCAGCACCTACATGGAAGTGCCCACCTACCTTAACTTCAAGTCCATGAACCACATGGTGAGTCTTGGCAGAAGACCAGGCTACATCCCCACTGTGCAGCTTGGGGCAAGATCCGCCCCCACACCCCGGAGAGCGGTCATGGTTAGAGGCTGAGTTTCCTGAGGGGAAGACTCAGGTGTGACTGACATATTGGGGGAGCAACTGTCATACAGAAGCATATAGGGTGAAAGGAGGCCTGGCCATAATGAGCCACACATCATCCTGCTCTGAGAAGTGCATTATAGGAATGACGCTAAGTGTCCACTGCTGTCTAACTCACTGTCCAAAGCGTTGTGGCTTAAAATAATAATTGGGGTGGCTTGCTAGGTGGTTCAGATGGGGACAACTAGCATGACAGCTAGGCTGGAGGTGAGGGATTTGCTCCCCCCAGACATCTTACCCAGTTCCCCACACACTGACCTTAAGTAGGGCAGCCTGAGTATCCTCAGGGCATGGCTGCTGGCTGTCTTCAGTAGAGGGATTGAGGCATCAATAGGGATATCTTCATCTGGGATCAGGTTGGCTGTTCTGGAAAGCTCACATCTGTACCCCAATGAGTCTAGCCCCACCCTCCAGCAAAGAGAACAGTGTTACTTAATTCAGAAGAAGGGGGATCAAAGAAGGTGTGTGTGTGTGTGGTTCCAGAAGTAGTGGTGTTCACCTGTAATCATAGCACTTGGGAGGATGAGACAGGAGGATTGCTGTAAGTCTGAGACCAACTGGGCTATAATTGCAAGACTATTTCAACAAACAGACAGGCAGAAAGAATGTGTGGGCATATCTGCTCCTTGCCCAGAGATGGTGCCTCTCTTACCTGGTGTCAAGAAAGTTGGTCCCAGCTGGAGCTACCCTGGTGGTGGTGGGTTTGACCTGTCAGGTGTTAGAGGACTAGGTGGCTCTTGGCAGCTAAAGCTGTTCTATGAGGATATGAGGTGGTTCCCAATCTGGGAAGCAGCTACACTCATTTCCCCTGTGGCTCCTGAGTTGGGAGTTGCCTAGGTGGAGTGTGCGTGTGTGTGCGTGCGTGCGTGTGTGCAAGCGTTCGTGTGTGTGTGTGTGTGTGTGTGTGTGTGTGTGTGTGTACCCACCCTGACTGATGGGGGAACTAGGGCCCCCAGGGCTGAGGTATTGATGTGGTTTTATATTGTTGCAGAATTATCTCCCGAGCCAAGAAGGCATGCCTCACAGCCAGTTCGTCAACATGATGATCATCTTCTCAGTCGCTTTTATCACTGTGCTCATCCTGAAGGTGAGTGGCCCTGCGACCCCATGGTTCTGTGAGCCTGGTTAGAGTTGTGCAGTGGCTCAGGTGAGGAAGCAGGATGAGGTGTGTTTGTGGTCCCCTCCTGCTTCTAACCTTTCCCCAGCCCTCCTGCTTAGCTTGGAACACTTGGGGACATTCTGCTTAGAGGGTGTGGGTCTGTGAAGCCGAGTGTACTCAGCTCCCTGGGCCCAGCATGTAGCTCTTTGTGACACTGGTCCAGTGTGCTGTCCTAAGTTACATTTCAGTGACACACAGTATTCTGTGTGCTCTTAAAAACACAACAACGTATCAGGGGGTTTTGTTTTGTTTTGTTTTTGAGACAAACATACTATGTAGCCCAGACTGACTTTGAACTCCTAATCCTCCTGCCTCCACTTTCCAAGTGCTGGGATCATAGCTACGTACTCATTCTTAGCTCAGAGGTAGTTTTGAAGAGGACTATGCCACTGTTGTGCTGTTTCAAGATGGATGGGGTCCTTCAGTTTCCCATCACTCAAATGGCTGAGTAGGGCATACCTGGCTGTGTCCAGGGAGGCTAGAGGGCCGATCAAGAAGCCTGGAGAGTCCTCCTGCATGGTGGCTGTGGGTATGAGGATGGGCAGTCTCTGGGGCATGCCAAGCTGGTATGTGAGAAAGCTCAAAGCCCCAGCGGGAGGGGAGTCTGAGCAGCTGTTTGGATGCTGCCTTCTGGGGTGAGCGAGTGTGGCTCCCTGGAGGCACTGACTATCCAGAGCTTCTCAGGCAAGAGCAGGGGGGTGAACAGAGCACAGACTAAACAGGCTCTTTTCCAGGTCTACATGTTCAAGTGTGTGTTGAGATGCTACAGATTAATAAAGTACACAAATTTGGCCACAGAGAACAGCAGCTCCAAGATGTTCCTCAAGGTGAGCCTGATGAAGGGTCAAATACCAGGGCTACCACCCTCTTGCTGTGCCACTTGGGGCTAGTTCCTTTCTGGGCCTCAGTACTTGTAAGAAGATTGTTGGACTAGAAGAAATGTAAACAGCATCAACTCTGATGGTCTAAGATTCCATCTATCCATCCACCTCCCTACCAACCCATTATCCATCCATCTACCCATCTAACATCCAGCTATCTACCCAACTACCTACCCATCCATCAATTAATCTATTCATTCATCCATCTATCTACCTACTCATCCATCCATCCAACCATTAAACATCATACACTTACTCATTGTCTATCTATCCATTATCCATCCATCCATCTACCTACCTACCCACCCATTCATCATCTATCCATCTACTCACCTATCCACCTACCATCCAGCCAACTACCCACCCACCCACCCATCTATTCAGTTACCCATCTATTCACTGACTCATCTGTCCATCCATTCATCCACCTACCCATCCATCACCATCATCCAACCATTATACATTCATACATTTACTTATTCTATAATCCATCCATCCATCCATCCATCTTTCATCCTATCCACTCACTTATCCATCTACCCATTCATTAAATTATCATCTATCCTATATATCTACTCATCCATCCAACTGCCCATCTAACCATCATTCATTCATCTACCCACTCATCCATCTACCCAGACATCTAACCACCAACACCCATCCACCCACCCGTCCCTCCATTCATCCTCCTATGACTCACCTCCCATCTATCCATATATCTATTCATCCATCCAACCACACATCCAAACAGCCGTATTCTATCTACCCTCATCCATCCACATCCACCCATTCAGTCACCATTCACCATCCATCCAACCAAGCACCATCCACTTATTATTCATCATCTATCCTTCCATCCTTCCTCTGTCCTTTCCTGCCTCTTGTTCCTTTGGTCTTGTACCCAATCCTGGAGGGTAGATGACATTGTGATGTCACCTCTGTCTTAGGGGTGTGCACAGTCTAGAGTGGTCCCAGTTGCTGAGATGTGTTTATACCTTGGTATGAAACATTGAGCTGGCACACCAGTGCATCAGGGAATGCTTCCTGGAGGAGGTGACCTCTGGTAGGGGACTGGAAAGAGAGAGTGCCTGGAAGCAGCTGACTGTGACATGATGGAAAATTGCAGCTGCCCTAAGTGTTGGTAGCTCATTGCGTTAGCTATGACTGCAAGCACCAGAGACCTAACTCCTATTGATTTAAATCCTGAAAGGAATTTAGAAGCATTTAGAAGTCCAATATAGGTGTAGTTGAGTCCTGATCTTGGGGTTTGATTCCCATATACTCTCCTTTCCCCAGTCTTGGCTCCAATTTCAGGCAGAAGCCATAAGCTGACATCCTACCCTTTTAGTAACCCCAGCAGAAAGAGTCGTATATCTGACTGGACCAATGTGGGTCACATGATTTCCCCCAGTTAGAAGATTATAGCCAGGGGGATAGAATTCGACTCTGAGTGACTCATCCTAGGTGACATGTCTACCTGCTGGATGGGAGCCAGTTCTTTCTTCTTGTTGTTGTTATTTGTTTTTAAAGAGTTATTTATTTATTTATTTATTTATTTATTTATCATGTATACAGTGTTCCGTTATATGTATTCCTGTTCACCAGGAACCTCATAGATGGTTGTGAGCCACCATGTGGTTGATGGGAATTGAACTCAGGACCTCTGGAACAGCAGTCAAGGCTCTTAACTTCTGAGCCATCTCTCCAGCCCAAGGAGCCAGTTCTTTGGAGAGCATTTGGGCTGAGAATGTTCATTGAAGCCCTGGGATATTGAGGCCAATGGGCCAAGGCAGGTGCATGCCTTGTGGGAATCAGAAGTGTAACCTGTAGCCCAGGTTAGATTTGAAAGTGTTCAGCTGTCTCCTCTGTCTTTTCCAGGTGGCTCTGCCGTCCTATGAGGAAGCCTTGTCTCTACCCACTAAGAATTTAGAGGGGGACCCTGCTCCACCCCCATACTCAGAAGTGTGAGCCCACCAGGCCTCAGCGCTTGGGCTGGGAGGGGTGGGACCTCCTCCTCCTGCTTCTTCTTTACTTTGGTGGCTGCTGTGACCTCCTACAGGACAATCTGCTTGTGTATCCCCTTACTGTCCTCTCCTCCTGGAGACCCCTCACTCATGACTGAGTCACCCCTGGCCTTAAAGACCCTTGGAGTCTCAGAATACTCAGCCTAGCAGCTCAACTTGTCCCCAGTAGCAAAGACACTTGTTCAGAGCACAGTCATGGCAAATTTGGTAGAGTGAGTTTGGTTACAAGCAACCAGCTTGATGTGCTTAGCCAGGCAGCCAGCACTACAGAGGCAACAAGAAAGGAATTTAGCCAACCAATAGTTCTGGGTGTTCGTTTATATGAAACTCTCAGGTTACAGGGCAGTTCATGATCGTGGTTACCCATTTGCCAACTCTGTATCCTCAGAGTATACATATAAAACAATTGCTTCAAACAGATTGCTCAAGCAAATAGCAATTCAGCCAACTGTTGTTACTAGGATTTATGATAAAATCCCATAAAAAAAAAAAACAAAAACAAAAACAAAACAAAAACCGCAGTGTCAAACAAAGGAAAAGTAAAGGAAGTGGAGTTCCTTCCTATCCTCACTTCAATGCACCCGGTGGGTACCTAGCCTCTCTCTGCTTGCCTTCTGCTAGTAGCTAGAGGCTGGGGAATCCAACACACATTCCTGCAGCTGCCCTGTCCATTCTGCTCGGCATGGAATATAATGATGGCTTCTGTTTTAAACAGTCCCTTCCTACCAGCCACTGCTCTGATGGCAAGCTGTCCTCACCTTCAGACAAGTGCTGGCTCTGTGTTCCCCATGGCCACATAGTAGTGAGGTCCTTGCAAGGGTCACCTTAGCCACAGACAGATTTAGGGTCTGGTTGTCATGCCATCCCAACAGCCAGGTTGGTTCGGCCTGTTCTGACAAAGGGTATGTATGCTCAGATGATGACAGGCTTGGAGTCAGATGCTCTGTGGGTAGCTGTCTGTCTGCATGGCTGCCCAATTGGTACAGGCTAGCCCATGGGAGGGGGGTGAAGAACCATCCAGAGGCTTGTCTCCCATGGTGGCAGCAGAGAGGGTCGGTCCATACCTTTCTGCTGGCTTTCCCATCGCTAGGGGTTGTGCTGAGGATTAATCCTATGGCTAGGGATCTGCACCTTGCCTGTGGTGTGGACGGGGTTGCAGGGTCGAGAGAGGGTCCCATTGCACCTGTGTCATTGCTTGTGTGTGTGACTTGGAATAGGGGGCCAATAAAGCAGCTGCAAGCTCTGCTCTGGCTCATGTGGTTTTTGACAGATGATGCAGGGACAGAGGACCAGCCTCTGGCCTCCAGCCTTCATTATCCCAGCACACATGTGCATAACACTTCTGCTCTCCACCCCCTCCCCCCGCCTGCCCAGCTTGTCAGTGTCACCCCCCCATGCTGTTTCTGACCACAGGTCACTATGTGAACTTCCTCACATCTCCCCAGTCCAGGGGGAACTCTATTCACAATGAGAGAGATGGCCTCCAGCCAGGGCCTGTTCTGGATGCTGGGAACTCACAGGCTGGCGCTGGGAGACAGATCCATAAATGGTGGTCATTACTTAGGGCAGGGGGTGGGAGAGTGGGGGGGAGAGAGGAGTCCATGACCTCAGAGTTCCGAGGATGAAGTTTCTTAGGGGACATTTCACCAAATGGAGTGAATGACAGGTTGGGCTAAGTAAAGGTTGGTCCAGGCCAAAGCTGCAGAATGTGCAGGGCCGCCATGGTGTGGGAAGGGCTGGGCTCAGTGTTCTTACAGCTGAGCAAAGTGGAGGCAAGCATGGGCCCTTGCATGGCAGGACTCTTTGCTTGCTCACCCTGGCCAATCTCATCCTGAAGAGCACACCATGGATGAAGAAGGAAGTGAGCAACAGAAGCTTTAGTGAGTCCATTATGCCCACTGTCCCCCCCCCCAACATAGCCCTGATGATTCTTAGGTCTTACCACAGAGGGAAAAGGCCAGGGAACTTGGGTTTCAGGCATGGCTGGATCCAAGACTGATGTTTTCCTCATCACGTGTCTTTCTCCATCTCCTGTTTCTCCTGCTGCGGCTGCTGAGCAGTGAAGACCTGCCTAGGAGGGACTTCAGGAGACAGCTACAGTAGTTTGAGTCAACATCTGTCACCAAAAGAGACCAAATATCTGGCATGGTGGCATACTTGAGGACAGAGGCAAGAGGATCTCAAGTCATTTACACTAGCCCGAGCTGCATAGTAAGACCTTGTCTAAAAAATCCAAGTGCTGGGGGGGGGGGGGTGTATAACTCAGTGCTTTCCAAGCACGCACAAGGTTCTGGGTTCAATCCCCAATAAAAACAAAGTCAAAAGCTAAAGACCCAAGCCTCAGACCTGTCAGGGCACCCTGGAAACAGAAAATTTCACTGTGTGATCTTGCTTTTTATCAGATCCCCCAAGCAACCGATAACATGTGACCCCAGCACTGATGCAAAAGGAGTTTCAGAGAGATGCAGGGACACCAGGTGACTTTCCCAAAGCTCCACATCACTTGGGTTAGACGGAAGCCTTTATTTCCAGTGTCAACTGAGGGTTGTTGGGATGGACTGGACTGTGTGAGCTTGTGTCTTGCAAAGATCCATGTGAAGACTCCTTACCCTGACCCCAAGCTGCCCCAGCAAGTAGGGGATGGGGCAAGGTCAGAGGTCACAAGAAGCCACTTTGCATCCCATCATCATTTGGTCCAATGGGCCAAACCGTGGATCCCAAGGACAAGAAGGAGTCTGGGTGTACTTCTGCTTCCCCACTCCCTGCCCCCAGTGCTGGCCAGGAGTCTTGGAGCTGAGCTGTGTGGTGGGATTGTGCCCTGTGGTCAGGCAGCAGAGAGGGGGCAGCCTAGGGACAGGAAATAGCTGGGTTTGGGAAAGTTCATGTGGCCAGCCAAGTCAAGCGAGCTGTGGTCGCCTGGGCAGCCTGTGTAGGGGCCTCTCAATGCTCTCCTTGAGGCTCAGACAGGGGCTCTTTGATGGGGAATGGGGACCCCTGAGGGCTGCCTGAGTGGGAGGCCACGAGGAAGCCAGTTGGGAGAGGGGCTGTTGCAGGGCAGGCAAGATGGTGGTTGCTGGAGTGCTCAGAATCATATTGGGTCACGGAGCAGGAAAGCATAGGTTTCTTGGGGACTATAACAGTGGCAGAATGGTCCCCCAATTGCATGGGTCCTTCTGTGTTTCATGTCCACGTACAAATGGAGGACAGGACACAGGCAGGCCCCAGCCTTGCCCATGATCCACATGTGACTTCAAGCTGGTGCCCACCCCTACCCTGGACCTCAAAGGTAGTCATTGCATAGCACCTGCTGTGTGAATCCAGGGGGTGGAGAAATGTGTGTCGTCTGTGGACATGTGGCTGGATGTTAGTTGAGAGTGTCACCCAGGTAGACTAATGTGTGGTATCTCACATTAGTGGAACATAGTGCTAGCTACTGTCTTCCCTGCACACCTTCCCTACCTCGTCTAGCACTTGACTTCCAGTTGGTGTGACCCCTAACAGGGCTCAAGACCATGTGATATCACACATGACTCTTCCTCCCAAAGAGGCAGTGTTCTAGCTATTGGCACGGCATGGCAGGCTATCCATCACTTTTTTCTTGTAGGTCCTGGATGTCCAACAGCCCTGCAAGGGCGACTGCCTTGTGACAGTAGATTAGCTGCACCCTTTAGCTGGGTTCTGCCTGACTTTGGGGTGACTAGAGAGTCCATTCAATCAGATCACTTTTGGCAGCAACACCAATTTTTTTTTTTTTTTTTTTTTTATGGTGAAAAAGTGTGTATTTGGAATTAGCCAGCTGGACTCAGTTTAAATGATCCTAATTTTGTTGGCAACATCCAGAACATCATAATCAGGAGCCAACAGAACATACACCTTCTTCTCTCCGTCAGGCCTTATGAGGGTGTTGACTTTGGCCACATCAATGTCATAGAGTTTCTTCACAGCCTGTTTGATCTGGTGCTTGTTGGCCTTGATGTCCACAATGAACACAAGTGTGTTGTTGTCTTCTATCTTCTTCATGGCTGACTCAGTGGTCAGGGGGAATTTGATGATGGCATAGTGGTCAAGCTTGTTTCTCCGGGGCGCGCTCTTCCGAGGGTGTTTTGGCTGCCTCTGGAGCCGCAGGGTCTTGGGCCTCCGGAAAGTGGGTGACGTGCGGATCTTCTTCTTTTTGTGGCTGTGGAGATCTTTCAGCACTGCCTTCTTGGCTTTCAAGGCCTTCGCTTTGGTTTCGGCTTTGGGAGGGGCAGGAGCTTCCTTCTTCGCTTTCGGCGCCATCTTGGCGAAAAGCAGCAACACCAATTTGTAATAGAGTTGAGGCAGGCAAACTTAGGGAATAGCTCACAATGTGGGATTCCACTTGACTTGGACTATACACTCAATCCTCTTCTAAAAAATGTACTTGGTAATCTAAGACCATACCTGCATTGAGCTGCAAATTCACCCAACTCCAAACAGTGGAATATATTTTCTTTGCAATGATCATCCATAACTTCCTATTTTACTTAATGGCAAGGTGGCTCAGCAGGTAAAGATGTTTGCCACCAAGGCTGGCAACCTGAGTTTTACCCCAGGATGTACATGGTAGAAGGAGAAAACTGACTTCTGAAACTCTTATCTCCACCACACACTGGAATGTGTGTGCTTACACACAGAACAACAACAACAACACACACACACACACACACACACACACACACACACACACACACTTGCTTTTGTGGACAGTTTCTACTTAAATACATTCCCAGGTGTATCTAATACTGGATTGATGTGGACATGACTGGTTTTGGGTACATGCTCAGTAAGACAAACTGTCCTTTGGTGAAAGACCCTATTTACCATCTCATGCTTGAGCGTAATTGGGCATGCACATGGTTAACATCAGATGCATCGTGGTGGAGGAACAAACATGGTAGAAAAAATTTATAGAATCCAAACCTGTCAATCAAGATAGTTGCTCTTGCTAAGCCCCCTAGAAACCAGCTCATGTCTCCCTTGGATCCCATAGAAGGCAGCCCTAAACAATAACAGGACCCTTCAGTATTCTCTCACTGGGACAGCCTGCACGTGCCCGCAGCAAATCTGCCTGCTCTGTCACTTTGCTCTTGAATAAAGTTTCCTTGCTGCTTTGCAATTGCTGTGCGCCTTCATTTCAGTTCCTTGAACAAGATGCCAAGACCCTGGAAACATCCGGATCAGACACCAGCCACGGGTGACAGAGTCATTTTAAATGTCAGAATAGCAGGCAGGCCCAGAGCTTGGGCTGGGACTCTCCATGGGCCTTTGGCGGGAATCTGCAGCTGGGTAGTTCTCTGCAGCCACAGGATTGTGTGCATCCTTGACTGTCTGGGCTCCTGGGGGCCAGTGCCCATAGCCAGTCCCTTCTCCAGGATCCTGGAGAATGTCTGCCTAGTGTCATCAGGTATGTCCCAGCTGGCAAGAGTGGCCAGCATGAGGGAGCTACAGCTGCATGTGAACACTCAGCCTGTCCTGGGGATAGTGCAGTGGCCACTCCACTGGTCCAGCTGGTTCAGCAGAACCATCATTCCAGCATCCTCTGGCTCACGTGCTCTCTCTCCGACAGGATGGGTTGTGTAGCCACTCTTGGATGTTCTGGTCTAGATGACCTTTGGGCTTTTTTCAGAGCCAAAGGTGTGAAGTATACATCACTTAGTTGATCACAAAGTCTGATTTTTCCCTCTTTTCTTAAATGCAGTCTCACTTGGTTGCCCAGGCTTGTGTCAAACTCCATGTTCAAGCAATCCTCTTCTTCCAAGGCTGGGACTACACATGACTGCTAGTGCTTCTGGCTGTCTGAATTCTGGTCTGGGGGTGACCTGGGCCCCAAGATACCTTTCACCCAGAGGAATGCTTGGTTATTTTTCCTGTTTCTCTGTCAAAATACCCTGAAAAAAGCAACTTCAGGAAGAGATGGGTATTTTGGCTTATAGCTTCAGGCAGGGAAGCCATGATGGTATGAGTTCCAGGTGGCTGGTCGTATTGTGTTGGCAGTCAGGAAACAGAGCTAAAACACCAGTTCTCAACTCTATTCCTCCATTGTACTCAGCCTTGGACCCCAGCCCATGTGACTGCCCACATTTAGGGTGAATGAACCTAGTCAAGGTAACCCCTCAAGGCATGCTCAGAGCTAATATAACCCAGACAATCCTCACAGGTGTGCCTGGAGGCCTGTCTCCTGGTGAGTTTAGATTTCCCTCAAGTTGACAATCAGTGTTAGCCAT